TTGAAAGGTTAAACAAGACTCCAAATCTGAACAGAATGCCAGCTACGCTTTACTCAGGGCAGGTACTTAGATTTAAAGCGTTTGCATAAGGAGTTGTGGTGATACCTTTAACACCGATCGGGAGTTAAGCATTGTTTGATCTTCTTTAACCCGAAGGTATGGCCTAAGGTCCGGAAAGTGTGAAAAAAATTTAGTTTGCTTACAAACAACCCAATCTTGTGTCATTGTTTCTTATATTGGTTCTTTCGTAGTGTCTGATATTTCAGAGAATGGCATTGACCCAGTACGAGCGTGTGGTGCTCACCTGGCTAGCCGGGCGCAGATTAACATGCGCTTGGGTGCTGGTGTGTTTCACCCCCTCCCTCCACAGATGTTTTCCGGTATGATTCCTGCCCAGCGTGGCGAAGCCGCTCCAAAATTGGCGTAATAGTAGACAGTTGAATAGCGGATTGTTCAGTGTCAGCAATTTAGTTGCACCTTATAAGGCTGCTGACCTACGGTTGTCGAAATCGGGACACGGATTCAGCGAAGACAATACTAAGGAATCGTTCCATCTGATGAAGCAACGGGGTGGTAAGTGAAGCCGTACATCTCGGAGATAATTTCTTATGCAACAAACACTCAAACTGACGAAATTCAATAGCGTAGGTCAAGGGTAACGGTTAGATCAAGGTAACAAATAACCTGCTTGTTGCCGCAACTCAATGTATGGGGTAGTTTCTGGTGCTTATTCTCATGTTGTTCAGAGCAAGAACCACGTTATGCATCTACTATAGGGCTCTTAAAGTTCAGGAAAAATGACGTACCTAAAAATCCCGGATGAGCATTTTGTTTCTAAGAACGTATCGCCTAGCATAATCCTTGATGACTACTTAACTGCAAACATATACGGAGTCTCTAAATGCTTGCTCATATCTACGCTTTCCGGATAGAAAGCAGTCATTGAATGTAAGAGTGTCCTAGATGCCGTTTGTTTAGGACCAGCATTATCTAGATTCACAGTGGTTGCATGAGACGGTCTAAGTGGGAGGGGGCGAGGGAATTTCAGTCATCAGTCCGAAACTCGACATTTTTTATCCTGGCAAGTCAATTTGACTGCCCTGAGATCTCAGAGACCAAAAACGCTAAAGACAAAAGATTCACAAGTTACGTGGGTTCACAAAATTCACAAGGTCAGCTGTACGTGAACTCAAAAGTGTAAAACTAAGCCTCTTAGATCATGACATTATTGGTCAAACAGGATAAAAAAATCGTCGAGTTTCGGACTGATGACTGAAATTCCCCCCGCCCCCCTCCCACCAAGACCGTCTCATGCAAGCACTGTGAATCCAGATGATGCTGGTCCTAAACAAACGGCATCTAGTACACTCTTACATTCAATGACCGCTTTCTATCCGTAAAGCGTAGATATGAGCAAATATTTAGAGACTCCGTATATTTTTGCAGTCAAGTAGTCATCAAGGATTATGCTAGGCGATACGTTCTTAGAAACAAAATGCTCATCCGGGATTTTAAGGTACGTCATTTTTCCTGAACTTAAAGAGCCCTATAGTAGATGCATAACGTGGTTCTTGCTCTAAACAACATGAGAATAAGCATCAGAAACTACCCCATACATTGAGTTGCGGCAACAAGCAGGTCATTTGTTGCCTTGATCTAACCTTTGTCCTTGACCCTACGCTATTGAAATTCATCAGTTTGAGTGTTATGCTGCATAAGAAATTATCTCCGAGATGTACGGCTTCACTTACTACTCCGTTGTTTCATCAGATGAAACGATTCCTTAGTTTTCTAACGATTCCTTAGATTCCTTAGTTTTAGAACGATTCCGATTCCTTCGTTTTGGCCTGACATTGAACGAGTCCTTAGATGTTGCGTTCACTGATACTCACGGGGTAAATTTGACCGGCCATGATCTAGGTCGGCGGTCTTGAAGGAGTGTTTCACATTTGAACATACTGGAGCAATCATCAGGCATGATGAAACTACGCCACTTACAACTAACGTTTTATGCGCGCATATGCGTTTTATAAAGCGTTTTATGCGTTTAACGTATACTTTTAGATGCAAAAACTGTTCCAGACAGTACAATTATCTCTTTAGTATATATTTTCCTGAATGCTTCATAGTTTGATTACGTCATCGTATATTGCACAACATCGGTTGAGCGTCCATTGACGGCCATTATATCTACAAACGCGCTCACAAACGCCAGATGTAAACTCCTCGACAACTATATTCTCTCGGCCTTGATTGCCGTATGGCTTACGAATTGATCCAATTTGAATAACGCTCTTATGTTGTCATGAGTGCGAGGGTGACTTTTAAATTTTGACATTTCATTTCAACTAAAATTAATTTTACCGTACTGCCGGCGGAAATACGTCGGACTTCCGTAATGTTCAACAAGCGGAAGTTGTCACGTATGGTGAAACTGTTTGCACGTGCGGGGCCTCACAACTCGCATTATGAGCGGTGGCGCAAGCCAGGTAAACTTCGTTGGCCAGAAATCCCATGGCTTCAGCTCATTTCGCAGTTAAGAATTAACTTCATTTTGAACGTGCACATATCGTTGCGACCAGATGTCGAGCGAGAGGAAAAATGCAAAAAATTTAAGAGAAACAAATGCTCATGTTTGTCATGTCATGTCACGTCATGCTCATGTGAGCTCATGTTTATGACTAAGAAAAGGTTGGGCAATGGCAAGTGGCATCAGGCTACCTGTGACAACCGCCCCAGTCGGATCGCACGTTACCTGCTCCGTCCACTCGCTCGCTCCCCTTATACGTCGGGGGAGTGACCGGCCGAGCCAAGTGAGAGTGTCCGCGGCTCAGCACTGACTGGTGACTGACAAGTGACTTCCATTAGGATGGACGAGGCCATCAAGAGAGCGGTGATCAACGCGGTGACGCAGGGAAACCTCCTGAATTCTGTCAAGGAGCAGGTGACGGCGACCGTGGCCGAAGCTGTGGTCGATAAGTGAAAAATGCGCCAGTGCTGCCATCTCTCAACGAGTTCGAGATACTACAAGTGGTAATTTCGCATGGCTCATTTGACAGCACGTCAGCGTCACACAAACGTTCCACGATGCAATGAAAGAATGACGCACTGAAAAGAACAGTTAGCAGATATAACAGTTGTCTTATCTGGAGCGGTCTATGCCACTCCGTATCAGCCGCTGCCACTTAAAAGCACACTGATGATTATAAGCATGTTGATTGCATCCTATGTGATGGTTGCTTCAATCTCATGAAATCTGGCACCTCCCTTTTAACTAGTACAGCTAAGATTTTTCGATGAATTGTTAATTTTGTCTCGGATGAGATAAATTTGGACCGTGATCATCAGTGCAGATAATACACACGCAAACCTAAACGCATTTAATCACTTCGTTGATTAACAAAACAACTTTGTGGTCCCGTAGTTAGCAAATGCTTTCTTAACCAGTGATCTCCAGTGCGCGGAAGCTAAGCCCAGTTTTTCCTAGCGTTGTGCAGCACGTTTGTTCCGAATTAAAGAGTCAGTATTCCATCAGTCACGATTTCTGTGGTTGCGCTTGGTAAATCATGTGTTGCTATTTTGTTTTACACGTATGATTTCACTCTGGATTATCACTTCAGCGCATGATTTTTGTGACGGGCAAACTGATGAAACGTTCCCGTTTTGCTAGTGCCCTAAATCCAGCATTGGCTCGTGCCCTTGGCCCGCTAACGTAGCTCGGCACGAATTGCGCGGAGTTGTAGATGACGCCACCTACAGTGGTGGCGCTAACTACGGTGGTGCTGCCGCCTACAGGTGACGCTGCCTACAGATCGGGTCCGTTGGGGCAATGCCGTCAAAGCGCAAAAAGCGGTTCTTTCTCGTGGCGATGCGCTTGGCAGCGTGACTAACGGCGCAGGGGACACAATGTACTCGCTCCCCCCCCCCTGCCTCTGACACTGAAACTTGATATTGTTTCACCTTTTTAACACGAAGGTCATGAGAGGAACCTGGAACTTTGACCTGAGTGACTTAACGTACAGGTCAACACACCTCGCAAGTCTGGTATCTCTAGCTGTCTAAGTTCCCGAGATCTCAGGGGGCGCTCAAAATGACCACCCACCCGAGCGAAGGGTATGTAGCCGGCTACCAGGGCGCGTGTGAAGGCGGAGACGCCTTGGGCAATGCTTCGGTCATTTAGTTTACGCTTGGTTTCCTCTATTCCCCCAGCCCCAGGCCCCTGCCGTTTGAACTGTTCATCCTTATCGACCACAGCTTCGGCCACGGTCGCCGTCACCTGCTCATTAACAGAATTCAGGCGGTTTCCCTGCTTCACCGCGTCGATCACCGCTCTCTTGATGGCCTTGTCTATCCTAATGGAAGTCACTTGTCAGTCACCAGTCAGTGGTGGGTCGCGGACCCTCTCACCGGTTTTGGCCGGTCACTCCCTCAGCGTATAAGGGGATCAAGCGGGTGGACGGAGCACACAACGTGCGATCCGGATGGGGCGGTGGTCACAGGTAGCCTGATGCCACTTGCCATGGCCCAAACATTCCGTAGTCACAAACATGAGTGCCTACTATTTGTTTCTTTTCAATTGTTCGCATTTTTCCTCACGCTCGGACATCTGGTCGCAACGATATGCGCACGTTCAAAATGAAATAAGTACTTAACCGGCAAAGGCGCTGAAGACATGTGATTTCTGGCCAACGAAGTTTACCGAGCCTGCGCCACCGCTCGTAATGCGAGTTGTGAGGCCCCGCACGTGCCAGTAATTTCGCCATGCAAGACTTCTGCTTGTTGAAAATTACCGAAGCCCGACGTAATTCTTTCAGGAATTCATGTCAAACATAATGGACAGCAATCCATGCTGACGCGCCGCATCATAGGTCATGAGCAATGTCGGTGCTGTCTCACTGCTTATAAAAGAGGGCCTTCAGTGTATTCAAATCCGCCTTGCATTCATCTCAGGAAAAATGACATTGATTTATTAGTATATTGCGCACGCATATACACATGGTTACACATCTTGCAGGGCTTCGTGCCATATGACGCACGTAAAGCCCGAAGTCGCTCCTTTGTAAAACTGCGTTACCAACGGCACGTGGTACCTACCACCGACAAATGTACATGTACAGGATACAATTATCGGCGAAAATGAAGGCACAAGACTTGACAACATATCACAGCTATGCAAGTAATTGCCCATGAAGACCTAAGGCACAGCAAGGAACACATTTCAACGCCTAAACAATTGACCATACATCACTGATGAGCCTTCCCACAGCCAAGGGCAAAATCACTCGTAACATATCACTCATATCATACAGATGAATGTAGACATGGCGCATACGCATACTTCTAAAGCTCGTATTACATACAAAACTGATGGCACAGAAAATTATCACATACAACTGTAGGGGCCTGAGAAACAGGATGATCACGTTACATCCGCAATCACCAACTGCCTATCTACCGCCGATAAATGTAGATAAACAGGACACAATTATCGGCGTTAATGAAGGCACAAGACTTGAAAACATATCACAGGTATGTAAGCAATAGCCCATGATGACCTAGCAATGAACACATTTCAATGCCTGAGCATAGATATGAACAAAGCAATGGACACATTTCAATGCCTTAACAATTGACGAAATATCACTGATGAGCTTTCGCACAGCCACCACTGCATGCCAGGTACGAAATCACTCGTCACATATCACTCTTGATACAAACAAATGTACAGGTGGCATATGCACATATTTCTCAAGCCGGCATGACATAAACAACCGATGGCACAGAAAACTATCACATACAAATGAAGGCACCTGAGAAACAGCATCATGACGTTATGTCTGCAAGCACCGACTGCCTGGGATAAAAGGCGTCAATACAGCGTGACAAATCACAGTGACATGCCATGGGTTAGATGCAAACAAAACACCTGCACAACAATATGCACATATGTACAGCCATACAGAGTAACTGAGGCAGCTAAGGTATTCAGAAAACGCCTGTGATTTTCCGCACAATTCAACGCACCCATCAGTGGTCCACCGGGCCACCGTCACCGGCCACGGCAACATCATCAGTGTCCTCCTCATCATCTGAGTCCTCGGCAAGGATCTCTGGCCAAACGCCCATCCACACTGTGGGACGTGCCCGTCTCCATTCTTCCTCTTCATCCTCGACGTCGTCTTCCCAGTCGCTGTCGCTGCCATCTATCAGAGACTCCACGAAGCTCGTTTTGGACTCATGCTCACGCCGCGGCTCGGGGAAGAGAATGGCCAGCGGAGCGATCGGCTCGTACCGCTCCCCGTCAAACCGGGTGAAGAAGCGTCCCACTTCCTGATGATCGATAGGCTGGGGATCTGGGGCCAGTTGCAGCTCCTCTGCAATGATACATCCAGTTCTGTTAGTGGCAGACAGAAGGGGCGCTCTACACAACAATGGGTGCAAGATATATTGCAAGTTGCTGTGATTTGTAGACAGCCAAACAATATTTTTTCAACAGCAGCTAGGGGCGTGAGCTGCACCACGCAGTGCAACGTCCAGTTTGGCTGTGTAATGTAGAAATATTGGAACTCATGAAATAGCAATGAATACGAATCAGAGCAGATATTCCGAAAGCTGCCATGCAGACATCATCAATAGTCAACTCAACATAGCAACTTCGTGGTGTACATAAAGCTGGTACAATGCACCCAAACAAAATATGCCAGCGCTCTGCTCGTAACTGACATACTGGTGGGATGTCAGTGTAATGTACTCCAAATCGGTGCACAACATTTATTCGGGGAGCTTGCTCACCTTCAGCCATGTATCCGAAACGGTCACCCTCCATCAGCAAGTTGTAGAAAAGTTGCTTTTCTCCCCGCTGAAGTCCGGAGCAGACGCGACTATGTGCTATCCAGTCCTGCAAACACCACCAACCCCGAGTCAACACAATAACTCACACCACGTGGCCGTCGTAGCAGATGAGAGCGAGGGGAAACCGTGAGGCTTCGTGGAAATGCTGGTAAGGAACTTTCACGTGTCAAGTGACATCCGTAGTAAATTGGTACGCTTACATGCCCATCACTGATGCACCGATTTCTACTACCAATCGAGAAGGGGAAAACCCAGAATGAAAGAATGACACAAATGCAACATGCCTGTATGAAACAGAAAGACACATTTGTGATACGGCGATGGCATGCATTGAAAACGAATTATGTGAATGGCGGACAGGACATTGTAAAACCATAATTGACCATATTAGATACTTTAAACCCCAACATGCTGAAGACATTCCATATCCCCTCTTTCAAAAAAGATCACTGTTGGCAAAATAAGGATAGCACTTGTCACACAAATAAATATTTACCAGGCCTTCAGCGACTGCCTTTCTGTGGAAGAAGTGACAAAACAACAAAAAGGCGAGTTGACTTCTCAGGCTTTGCCACTTAACTAGATCAATTCCTTAAAAAACAGTACAAATGGGGTCAGACATGGACTGGCCTGATCCTGTCACTCCATTTAAACCGCTCGTACCTGTGAGGCCTCGTAGTATGGTGAGCACCCGTACACCACTGCCAGGCGCTCGTCGCCGTACGTGACGACGTCACCGACGCCGAACTGCCTCGGACAGTCACCCGCTGCTCGGTCCGCCGCGCGGAGGTTCACCTGCAACACCGATGAAAATACTGACGGCGTTGCACACAACCGCGGGAGATGATTGAGCGGCATGGTATAACATGAGTAGCGCGACACAAAACATAATTGAAAAGAAATGAGCTGCGATGGCAGTACCGAGCATCAGCCAAACCAGGAACAACAAGAAGGGAAAATAGGGCATCCACAAATCCTTGAAGCAAAAAGCTCACACGCACAAAACGACGTAACATTAGCACATCTGCATCACATTTTTATGCTGATGATGCCTAGACATGGGATTAAACATGCTCGACAACGGAATTTAGCCAGCGGTAATTAGCATTCAGCATTTTAACGTGCGTTTGCAAAAACACGTACACTTGACTGACCAACATGCATGCATCACATAACATGACACACAACAGCACCACGGAATCCAACTGCACCACTCACACGCGTACGCACAGGCACGCTTCCGCATTACGTTGGTGAAAAGCTACAGGAGTAACTTCACGCATTGGCAATTTCATCAAATCCAGTTTATTATTATTACCAGTTCCTGGACTATGGCCTCTTGTTCATCCAGGGAGCGCGTCAGCCGGTTATACATCCTCTTGAAGTGCTTCATGAGTACTTCCAAGCCACGCCTCTCGTTCTCCGCCAGTAACACGCCGTTAGCCTCGACGAATTGCTGCAGACGGAAGGCAGTGAAAATAAGGTCACATCAGATTCCGTCATTGTATCGCCACGTATTTTTTTCTGACACAATTTTGGACGCAACGAACAGCCCTTAATTGCGAGCCATGTACGAATTCGATACTTCCGTGACCCAAAGATGAGGCCAGAACGTCACCTTGCAGACGTCCGATCACATCTACATCTAAAACAATTATTAGGCATATAAAAGTGAACCAGACGTGTACTTCCGACAACGGTTGAAAACAACTGCCAAATGCCACGAAAATGCGACACCGCTGTGCCATCGCTGCCCACCTCAGCACCGCCTGATGAATGAAATCGACGAAGACGATTGGTCGAAGCCGAGGCTTTCTAGACGATTACACATCGCACACATGCTGCGTTAAGCGATTCATGTATGCTTCTTAGACTGTACGTGCTGAATTTTAAGGTCCAGCGTCATTAAACACCACTGACCTGCAGCAGGCGGCGTGCGTACATTGGTCTGGAGCGAGCCACAGCGGACATCAGGTCGTCGAGCGCAGCCATGTCCAGGCGGCAGTCGCTGCGAGCCCAGCAGGCCAGTGTCTCAAACGAGACCAGGTCGAAGCCAGTCCCTGGCCGGCGGGCTTCCGGATGGGTGGCGCCATTGATCAGGCGGCCCAGCAGCTGCCAAAAACAATGCATCACGTGAGACAAAGAGGGACATCGTATTGGCACTACAGCACACTGAAGAGTGTACACACAGCAGGACTTATCACAAGTTGTAGCGGGCCTGCTGGTACTCACAGATTCATATAAGAATAAAACACCCTGAACCTCAGACTCTGGTGCGTTCTTTGCAAAGTTCCTTTGCCAAAGGCAGGCATAGAACTACTCGTTAAACAAAACGGCAGATTTTTCAACGAAAAATCCACGTACCCTATATAACAGGGCCTGTGGTCCCAGAATTTGCAACATCAGATGCATCACGTACCCCTGCTCTGGGGAAGGGTTCCAGCATCTGAAGGTCCATGTCCGGATGTACAGCATTCAACTCCTCCAACACCTGCTCTCTGGATAGCTGCATGCCGCGACGGACAACGTCGATGAACAGGTACTCTTCACTGTCCCTGCGTGAGGAGCAGCACGTCAAGACATCGTGCACAATGAACTGCATGCATTTATGCACGCATTACGTCAATTGCAATACATCAATGTGCGACACACAATTTCAGTCACAAAGAAACTGGCACAAAAGCACATTCATAAAAAGGTAAACAAGACAAGACTAAACAAGACAAACACAGTCGGTGCGAAATTGTTGCATTTGCACAAGATGACAACACATCATGCATCAATACGATTGGCTTGATACAACATGGATGCTATATTTAGGAAATGAATATCTATTTTTAAGGAAATAATGAATGTCATTACCCACAAATCATACGTAACACCACGTCACTATTTTGGTCTCCTTCCTCCGTACCGTAGTTACCAATTGCTCTAAAGAAAATGCTATAGGACCAAATATAACGGTGAATTTGAAACTTTTAACGAACAGAGAAGTGATGCACTTACCAGAGCTGATTTCAAGAATAAATGGCTTTGTTGAAAGAAACAAACACATCAAAAGGCAGGCCTGATCATGAAAAATGCATCAAAGTCTTTGGCATCAAGTGATTACAAAAACTGGAGAATAGATGCACGCCGTGAAAGCAGGAACACCCAAAAAGACGTGACTTGAGCAGCCAGTCTGTCTATTTAGCGTCAATGGTGCCAGAGGACCCATTCCCCATGACCCTTCCCACAATGCTTACGTTCGGTGCCAGCAGATCATCGAGCTATGCGGGAACTGCACATTGTGGAGGTTGACACCCAGCATGCCAGCTACCGAGGAGTAGACCGTCCCCATTACAGTCTGCGTCCCGGAGCCGGCACAGTGGAGGTGGCGACGAAGGTAGAGCACCTGAAAAAGGAAACAGCAAGCCATTTAATGCATTGTTCTGGAGGCAACAGTAGTAACCTGCACACAACAAGAGCAAACGGCCCATCACACCATTCAGTCATAGAGCGAGTAATATACTACAAAACGGAGATCACACTTGCTGAAATCAAACATCGCCTATTAGTAACGACCTCATTGACCAGCATTTTATCATGACTACCATGGTCAGTCGTCAAAGTCAGCAATTTTCACGGAGACTCTGGATTCTAGACTGTGCAGACATCGCAACAGGGTGTTCGGTGTTAAGCCATCTGACAGGAGCCGCATAATGAACCTTACGACGAACGGGCGGAAACGCATGATCCACAGTATGCTCCGCAGTTCACAGCCCCGCACGGAAAACACCATCAGGCAAAACAGGTCAGAAAGAGAAGTCTGCGCTTGTCCTGTGTGTGATTTCACCTACTCCAACGTCCAGGAAACATTGATGAATATTTAATGCAGTACACTCACCAGTGTGTTCAGCTCGGCAGCCGGTGCGTACGCCGGCTCTTCATCCTTCATCAGGGCAAGCTGGTCATACAGTACAATGTTCAGCACGTCCAGGAGCATCAGTGTCTGGTCGTCCGTCCACAGCGAAGGTCCGAACGGGTTCTTTTTGCACGTATCCCAGGCGGCGGCCGGGTGCTCCGGGAGCTTCCGACGAAGCTCGTCCAAAACCAGGCCGGCGACCTTGATGTAGCAGCTGTAAAAACCACGCCATGTCAACGCTCGCATGTACGCATGAAAGGTCGTCTTTGTTCACGGGGGAAGGGGAGGATGGAGGCGAATGTTGCAAAGCTAAGACTGTATCCAGATTTGAGATTAGTGCCTTGTATCCCGTTCCTCTGGCGAAAACCACGATCACACTGGCATACTAAGTTTGACCTAGCTATTTGCTACACCATGCGTCAAGTCCTGTTGATGCCCCTGTAGTAAAAACGCAGCGCAGAGTGGCATTTGACTAGAGAGCGACAACATTGAAAATGCCATAACCACAGGTAACAGACGCCTGCAGTCAGCTATCATCGGCACAAATAAACACAGAAAAGGGCTGTGAGATTAGTTGTGTACTTGTGCCAATCAGGAAGAGCTACATACACATTAGAAACACAGTCGAGCTGGCAAAACACGTTCGTGCCAAACTTTCAATTTCCGCATGGAGATCGAGCATCTGGTAAGGAGATGAAAGACTCACGCCTTAAGACTGGACTCTCGGTTGTTGGTTTGCTCCGGAACCATCCAGAGGCTCATCAGATAAAACGCTTCGGGCACGTTCACATGCTGCGCTGGGCGCTGCATGTATTCCCGGAATATGGGCAGCAGCACGACGTCTCGCTGGATCTCGCGGAACAGCATCCGCGCATAGTAGCGCAGAGACAGGTCATCATCCCTGCCAAAAAAAGCTCGAATTACACATATGCCTAACACAACATCTGTCCACTCCGGAGACCAGTTGTGATGTCGGAGGCTTATATATAAGTCAATGAGTAAAACTTTTTGAGCGAATAGTTTGGTTTGGTGTTCAGATTACTTAGGCGATACCAAGCATATG